AAGCACCCTACCCTTTGGGAATGAGAATGATACATAGAGCAATTATCAGAAGGTGCAAAGCTATGAACCTGGAATTCCCCAAGCGGCACCCGCCCCTCTTGGAATAAGTAGAAGCAAAAATAGCAATGATAAGTAGGCTAATTTGCAAAACCTTAATCTTCAACTCCACAAAGGCACCCGTCCCTTTGGGAACGACGTCCCTGTGGGAAGAATGATTATAACAAGTTGATAAGTAGCGCTAGACTAGAAAATGAATCTGGAATTCCTCAAAAGGGACCCGTCCCGTTGGGCAGAATTGAAATAATCCGGGCACTTCCAAAAACAGAAAATATCTGAAGTAGAAGGATTAGAGATACTATGAGTCTGAAATTCCCCAATTTGAGGAATGAAGAAATTGAAAAACAAGAATCTGGAACTCCCCACAAGCACCTGTCCCTTTGGGAATGACAATAATAAATAGAGCAGTTATCAGAGGTAGAATCACTAAAAACATTGAAAAACAAACATGATTCTGGAACTCAACAAAAGGCACCTGCCCCTCTCGGAATAAGAATAATCATTATAATATCTACGATGAGTAGACAACATTTCCCAAACATGAATTTTCAATTTCCCAAGGGCACCCGTCCCTGTGGGAGCAATTAGAAAATTAGAGCAGTTAGAATAACCAGAATAATTGAACACACATGAACCTTCCCAGAAGGCACTTGTTCCTTTGAGAAGACTGATCATAAGAAGTAGAAGGGACCCGCCCCGTTGGCAATAATTGGAAACACGCGTAGTAATCCGAATTTCCCCAAATGTCCGCAAATTTGGGAATGACCAGTTGCAAAAACAAGAGCCTGGAATTCCCGTCCCTTTGGGAATGAGAATGATCAGAACAAGAAGCAGAATCAATAGAAAAAAGCAATGAATCGGAATCCCCCCAAAGGCGCCCGCCTCTCTTGGAATAAGGAGAAAATCATGGCGATGATAAGTAGGCTAATATGCAAAACATGAATCTTCAATTCCCCAAAGGCCCGCCCCCTTGGGAATAATAAGAAACAACAGAACATGTAGAATAACTAGAAAGATTAGAGCAAACGTGAATCTGGAGATTCCCTAAAGCACCCGTCCCTTTGGGAGAATAATTATAATAAGTGAATGAGTAGATTGAATCTGGAATTCCTCAAAAGGGACCCGTCCCGTTGGGCAGAATTGAAATAATCCGGGTACTTCCAAAAACAGAAAATATCTGAAGTAGAAGGATTAGAGATACTATGAGTCTGAAATTCCCCAATTTGAGGAATGAAGAAATTGAAAAACAAGAATCTGGAATTCCCCACAGGCACCTGTCCCTTTGGGAATGCCAAGAATAAATAGAGCAGTTATCAGAACTAGAATCATTAAAAACATTGAAAAAACAAACATGATTCTGGAGCTCAACAAAAGGCACCTGTCCCTCTGGGAATAAGAATAATCATTATAATAGCTACGATGAGTAGACAACATTTCCCAAGCATGAATGTTCAATTTTTCAAGGGCACCCGTCCCTGTGGGAGTAATTAGAAAATTAGAGCAGTTAGAACAACTAGAATAATCGAACACACATGAACCTGGAGATTCCCAGAAGGCACCTGTCCCTTTGAGAAGACTGATCATAAGAAGTAGAATTAGTGTAGCAGACAATGAATCTGGAACTCCTCAAAAGGGCCGCCCCGTTGGCGATACTTGGACAATGCGGATAGTTCCAAAACACCTGAAGTTGAATAAGAGAGAGACCATGAATCAGAATCTCCCCCAAATTTGGGAATGACCAGTTGCAAAAACAAGAGCCTGGAATTCCCGTCTTTTTGGGAATGAGAATAATCATGAGAAAAATATATCAGAAGTAGAACCAACAGAAACAAACTATGAACCTGGAATTCCCCAAAAGGCGCACGCCTCTCTTGGAATATGGAGAAATCATGGCGATGATAAGTAGGCTAGTATGCAAAACATGAATCTTCAATTCCTCAAAGGCACCCGCCCCCTTGGGAATAATAAGAAACAACAGAACATTTAGAATAACTAGAAAGATTAGAGCAAACATGAATCTGGAGATTCCCTAAAGGCACCCGTCCCTTTGGGAAGAATGATTATAATAAGTTCATGAGTAGATGTGCTAGACTAGAAAATGAATCTGGAATTCCTCAAAAGGGACCCGTCCCGTTGGGAATAATTGGAATAATTTGGGCACGCCCAAGAACAGAACATATTGTACGTAGAGTAGTTAGAGAAACAATGAATCTGAAAGTTCCCCAATTTGGAGAATAAAGAATTGGAAAAAGCAAGAATCTGGAATTCCTCGCAAGCACCCCCCCCTTTGGGAATGACAAGAATAATGGGAAGACGTACAAGGCACCCACCTCTTGTGTAGTAATTGTTGTACCTAGAACAACAAAGGTGCCCGTCCCTTGTAAATAATAATGATAGTAGTATTTTACAAGACTGATGATAAGTAGACTAATCAGCGAACGTGAATCTTGAACTCACTAAACGGCACCTTCCTGTTTGGGACCAAATAGAAAATAGGGAAATAATCTAGAACTTACTAAATGGGAGCTGCTCATTTGGGAATGGCTCGAATAGTTTGAACAATGCGGGAACCACGAATCTCGCCACCAACAGGCCCCATCCCTTTTGACACAATTATCCTACCCAGGGCAAACACGAGCTTGGAATTCCCCAAGACGCACCCCAGCTCCCTAGGGATTCAATTAGAATAATATAGAATGATTATGATAAGTAGAATACTTAGCAATCAGGGCTCTTGAATTCCCCAAAAGTCACCCGTCCCTTTGGGAATAATGATGAGAATTAGAAGAGTTATGATAAGTAGAATAGTTAGAAAACATGAATCTGGAATTCATCAAAAGGCACCCCACTTTTTGGAAGAAGTAGAATACTTAGATTAGTTCAAATAATTAGCACAAACATAAATCTGGAGTTCCCCCAAAGGCACCCGCCCCTTTCGCAATAAGTATGTAAATGAGAATAATTGTAATTTTGTGGGGAAGCATACCCAATAATTAAGACAGTAGGACAAAGATGGGTTTGGAATTCTCCAAAAGCAACCCGTCCCTCTGGGAAGAATTATAATAATTAGAACAAGTAATATAGTTATGATAAGTAGAATAGCTGGCAAACATGGATCTTGAATTCCACAAGACACACCCGCCCCTTTGGGAATGATTATAATGAGAATAAGTTGATTAGTTAGAATACTATAGTTGAAACACACATGAATCTGGAATTGGGATTTCCGAAAAGGCACCAGTCATTGGGAATAGCTAGAACAAAGGAACTAATTAGGGGCGGATTCCCCACAAGGGGCCCCGTGCCGTTGGGAATGCGTGCTACAACCAGAATAATCAGAACAGAATGACCTGGAAACCACACTGGACTTCACCAAATGGCTTGAAAACAAAGAGAATCCTTAGATTTGCTTAAGTTGTTAGAATGAGTAAAATAATTAGATCAACCATGAATGTTGATTTCCCCAAAAGGTACCCTCCTGTGGGAATACATCAGAGAGTGATGATTGCTATGAGAAGTAGACTAACTCGAACACATTTGACCCAAAATGCACCCGCCCCTTTGCGAATAAATATAAAATCACGTAGAATGATTCGAAAACACGTGAATCTGGAATTCGCCAAAGGGCAGCCGTCCCTTGGTGAAAAAAATGTAATAATCAGAATAGCTGTAAGAATTAGGACAATGCACCTGGAATTCCCCAGAGCGCGCCCGTCCCTTGGGTAATAAATAGAACAAGTATAAATTTCAATGAGCTAGAAGAAATTGTTTCGGAATTCCCCAACAGTCCCCTGCCCCTTTGGGAGTTTCTAGAATGATTCGAAAATTAAAAAGAAAAAGGGTGTTTTGTTTGTGTTAGTGTACTTGGTGTGTGTGTGTGTATTGCTTGACACTCTGTTTGAGTGCCCTTTGTGCTCTCAGTTTCTCTCTCTCTCTGCTTGTGTTTGCGTGCGTGCGTGCGTGCGTGCGTGCTTGCGCGCGTGCGTGCGTGCGTGCGTGCGTGCGCGCGTGTGTGTGTGTGTATCATGAGTGAGGGAAACATCCCCCCCGCGCGTACCACTTTGGGGGAAACAATCATCCCGCGCGCGCACGCCACATAGGACCTAATCTTCCCTGCCACGGGGGGGGGGGTGGGGGGGGCATGGTAAGCACACCCGCTCAACTGCTGCAGACCAGCCTGCTCTTTTACCGGATTACTAAATAACGTGGTTCTTGGGGAGGGGGTTTGGGGGGGGGGGGGCATTGTATGCACAACCGCTGAACTGCTTCATCCCAGCAAATTCATCACTATCTGGGGGTGGGGGGGTGGGGTGGGGGGGGGGGGGGCATGAAAAGCACACCCGCTCAACTGAACCAGCCCAGCAAGGGCGTGCAAAATCCAATCAATTTGTTCTGTGGTACATCCAAACATACGCGCGCGTACAAACATACGCCGCAGGGCATACATGTCAACACGCATGCACACAAGCACATAATACATGGACTCGCCCGCATACATGGTAACATGTGTCATGAGACACACACGCCACATATGTCATGAGACATACACGCCAACAAGCACAAACAAGCGCATACATGCAAACACATGCGCGCATATTTAATATAAACATACATCGCGAGGCATACATGTCAACACGCATGCATGCACGACAAGCCTTCTTCAAAACGCGATCCCGGAGCGACCCATTTGCGCGATCCCTAAGCGAACCATTTGCGCAGCCCTAAGCGACCCACTGCCCCTTTGCACCCCATCAAAAACGCTCCCAAGCAATTCAAGCGCGTGAGCTTGCCGCTAAGTTCCCAGCAGGTGTCAGCCCTTTGCAGAGAGAGGCCATCCAAACTTGCGACAGACTAAGTTGAAATGTCATTGAGTCATCCCAATTCAGCGGGTAGGATAAAGATTTGCAAATTTCAGGGCATCGCCACAGCTCGCAGCGGGCGCGCCTCTCTCTTTCTCGCTGGCCGGCGGTGATCGAATGCACCTGGCCCTCGTTCACGAAAACATGGAAGACTCCATCAGGTTGGACTGGCACAACCTCACCATCGACCAAAACCTGGAAGTCCGGCCATGGCGATTGCACCAGCCAGTCCTGAGATGCAAAAAGGGCAACGGATCCCGGCATTGGAGTCAGGCGAGGCTGATCCCGTGGCCGAGCCAAGCCGCAACACCAAAACTTTGGCTCGCCGCACATTACCCTGAAGTCCAAACGTCACCAGTTGCAGACTGAGCGGCTGTCCGCACCACCGCTGGCTCGGACTCTCTGGGGAGCTCCAGTTGAATCTCCTGCACCACACCCTGGCGCCGCTCTGCAGTGACCAGCAAGGGCCCTGGGGCGCGTAAACGGAAGGCGCCCTCCATGGTGGAAGGGAAGACCTGGCCATGACCCACGGGGTCAGCGGATGGCATTTCCACTGCTTGGGGCAAATTGGTCCATTTGGCTGCCTGGTCGAGTGGCCAACAGCCGCACGCCCACTTGAGAAACGCTGCGCTTGGTCTCAGAGACTAAATTGCCAACGGCCACTTCACCAGTTGGCCCTTTCAAGTGCCTTAGTGGACTACCTGGCCACAAACTGAAACGAGCGCCATCTCTCTGCCGTTTGGGGCCAGTGGCCGGCAGGTACACGCCGGCCTGAAAATGGGAAATCTTGCTCATTTGGCTGGCTGGTAAGGGAAACCTAATGGAAACCAAGCTGGGTTCATTTTTGCTGCAATCCCAAACGAAATGATATCTGCCCAAGCCGGTGAGAGCCTGACGCCTGGCTTGGGCCTGCGCGCCTGCAACACGCCGCCTGCCACCTGCAGAAGCAGCTCCGAGCCGAAGGCCGCACCGCCCACATTTTCCTTGAAGCGCGCGTGGGGCCCACTACACACAAGAAAACAGAAATCGAATTGGAGGATGAGACATCGACATGAGGAAGGAGGCGGAGGAGTTCCCTGGCTAATTACTTGCTACCTACGCATAGCGTTGCTATTCACGTATTCGTTCGAGTAAAGTCTCATTGGGAACCCTTTAATGAACATTGTTTTGTGCAAGCATTTCTGCACGCCAACCATGTTAAAGGTGCTCCCCAAAAATGATGGCCGCTGAATTGTCTTACTTGCCCAAAGCACCTGGAAAAGGGCTTACCGGCCTACCCTTTAGGGCCAAGACAGAAAATAGACCAAACAAAAGGCAAATCAAAAGGGTCAAGAAGTCGACTTTGAGCAAGTGAGCCTGCCTATGTATCAAGCAGCACCGCACTTCGGACCCCTGTTTTACAGAATCTGGCGGGTTTCTTGAGCGCGCCAGTCAGCGAGCCAAGCATGAGTCTTCTTTGGGGACCCTTGTTTGGTGGATACTTACTTGGTTGGTGTTCACCAACCTGCAAAAAGTGATTGACTCTTTGTGGGCATGCAAAAAAAAAGCTCTGTTTCTACCAGAACATTATAAAGTCCAAGATCCGAAACCAAATAGCAATATAAATTGTTTGGGCAAAGATCTGAAGTGCCACCGGCCAAGTGTCCAGGCCCGTGTTTCCGCAGCCCAGCACCATGCCGTTGCCATAGAGCCGGCATTTGGGGTCGGACCTCGGTTCGGTTCGGATGCAGGGGGCCGTCCAAATCTCACCCCCCTCGACACTCAGGGGTCGGACAGGACAGCTTGGCAACCTGGGGGGGGGGGGGGTGCAGCAAGCAGGCGATATCCCGAAGCCACAAGCTGTTGCCTCCTTCCGTTTCGCCATCCATCTCAGCTGAAGCGGCGTGTTGGTCAAGTAGGCCTCCCACGCCTGACCCGGCACTTGCCAAAGCCCAGATCCAACTGACGGGCAGAATGCCCTCCCCAACATGAACCCCCCCAGAAAGTCTCAGAACTCTCCTCCAGAAGCGTTACTTGGCATGATGCTGCCATTCCGCCAGGATTCTTAAGATATGGAACCGCCTCAAAAGGGGTTTGTGGACATGAATCCCCACCGAAACAGGGCACCCAAAAAAAACGCCTACACACATACATATACATATAGAGAGAGAGAGAGAGATACACATATATATATATATACATACGCGCACCTGCCAAAAGCAGACACGTCAATTCCTCTCGTCAGGAAAGGGCTAAAGCCACCGTTTTGGCACCGGCGAGCTCTCCCAGGGCTTGCATCGTTCTTCATGAAGCAGGACAAGGAAGCAAGGGGTCAAGTTCAGCAAATGCAACCCCGCGACAAGAAACCTACCTGCCAAGGAAACCGACCACAGGGCAGAAATCCGGGCAGAAACTTCTAAGAAGGACTCTGATGGAAGGGCTCCTATTGAGCTGTTCAGGAATTCTGGATACGCGAAAGGGATTCTTCCATACGGCGAAGGGGGGGGGGGGGGTGGGCCAGCAGCCCGTGAACCTGCTAGGGTGTAGTTTTCCTCAGTTGCGGTTGCCAATCTTTAAGGATCCTCTGGATGATGATTTGCGTAAGTACACTCACTTTACACTCACTTTCTGCGTGGATCGGTCAAAAAAAGGTCTGAACTTATTGTTTACCAAATGGGCTTACCAACAATTTTAAAGTTGGGGAACTCAGGGAGTGAGCGAATGGCTGGCTGCTGGCCAGACAAACACCCAAGCAATTGGCGGCCAGTCTTCATTAAACCTCCAAGCAGGTGGCATGGATTTGCAACTCCAAATGGGCAGCCTTCGAGCAAATGCTCCATTGCTCCTCACCAGCAGAGGGCAGTTTCCCAATGTTGCTGCTCTTTTTCATGTCTCCAGTGCCTTTGGCCTCCAATGTCTTGGGTATTTCTGCGTGTCGCTGGCCTCCCTCCCTGAGCTCCTGCCCAAAAACTCCGTCTCCGCGCCTGCAGGAGCCGCCGGGGCTGCCAGGCCACCCGACCCGCGGCGGCCCAGAGGTGGGGGAAGCTGTTGCCCTGCTTCCCCCCCGGCCACTGCTCGAAGAAGCGATCCTAAGGCGTCCAGCCAAGAGCTAGGCTCACTGTGCAAAAAGCCACAGATGGCAACATCTGGCTTGAAATTTCAGCGCAAACCACCCGACCTGGTGGGTTGCACGTGCCAAAACCGCACCTAAGTCGCAGAAAAGGAAATCGGACTTACTAGGCTTAGATGTAGGGAAAAGGGGAAAGGAATCGCGTTGCTGTTACATAAACATCCTCTGCATTGCCTAGGGCATGGCCTCTTAGTTCATATTTGCTCAACCCCCAAAACTTGGCTCCAATTGCCGCCCATGTGCCGCAAGAAGGTGTGTCTCAATCCTTTGATCAACCAGGTGGCCTGAAAAATAGAATGACTGCCAGTCAGTTGTGGCGCACGTTCTCTACACAATGAACAAGTGATTTGTAGCATGTTCTGGAGCTTGTTGTAGGTTCCGTCATGCCTACCCGTGACCGCAGGTGCAAGTGACACAAACACAAGCAAGCTGCAAGCCAAAGCACGCCTAGAGAACTGTTCTCAATCAGAGACCTCTAACAAACAAGTTGATCCCTTATAAAAGCCCGACCATGGAGGCTGGCAATGCATCGGCGATAAGGAGGCGCTTGCTGCCACGATATGCACACCCCAAAAGAAAAGGCGAACAAGTGCAGGCACACACACACACACACGCACACACACACAGACAAACAAACAAACAAACAAACAAACAAACAAACAAACAAACAAACAGACAGACAGACAGACAGACAGACAGACAGACAGACAGACAAACAAAAAAAACAAACAAACAAACAAACAAACGATAGTGATGCCGTGGCGCCAATGAGCGATGAACAAGGTCAAGGTCCTTCTGCGGGCTGCGCCTGCATTTTGCAACTACACCGGCGGAAGTTGGATCCCAAAACCTGCACGGCAAATTTGGGATCTGTGCAGCTGCTAGAAAAACACCGTGGCTTGACTCAGAGAGATCAGAAACAGGCTCGCGAGCTGCACCGCATCCGTACGCGCGCAAGCCGTGAATGAAAGAATGACTGAATGAATCAATGAATGAATGACTCGGAAACAAAGGCCTACCAGCCTGACCAACCAGAGTGTAATCCCAGGCGGGCAAACAGGTACAGCAAGCTAGCGCTGAGGCGCATGAGAGGAACTCTGCCTTTTTTTGCCACCCCCAAACATGCGTCTTGACTTTTATCTCGCCATTGGACGGGCAAGGCCACCAGAAAGGCACGCGCTGCACTCAAAAACACGCGCAACCCTGGGCTTCCCCTAGCCCGAGCGCATCGGCCCGCCTCCCCATCCCGCCTGTGCAGCGTGCCCAGGGGGAAGGCCGCAAAGAGGCCGCCCCAGGCAACCGAGCCGCCTGACGAGAAACACAAAGCGAGAGCAGAGCGATGGAATCGTACCGAAGACGTTTTCACCAGCAAAGTCTTCAACCTAAGAGCGGGTAACAGACAAGTCGACACACCAAACACCAAAAGACAAGAACGAGGAATGCAAAGCAGCGAACCCCAAAAAATCAAGCGAGAGAAACAAACAACGGTGAAAAATCAGGGTGCAAAAGCCAGCGACAACACTGCGAGGAACGTCGTCCCAGAACGTTTCCTTGCGTCAATAGTTAGTGGTGACACCCAAACCTTTACATTTCGACCAGTTGACCAAAACGCTACCGCCGAGGTGTAGAGGCACTGATGAATGCTCCATCCCCTTACTCTTTCTTTTTGGTGGAAAGCCAGTGTATGTATGGAATGTCCTGTCATGTCATGTCATGTCATGCAATGCCATGTCATGTCATGTCACTTCATGCAATGCAATGCTGTGTAACGTAACGAAATGAAAGGAACTGAAATGTGATGCACACATAAATTAGTGTGCGTGCGCCTTTGTGTTGGCACCTGGAGTACTCTAACATGTTTCCGCCTGAGTGCAGGCGCAGCTCCCGGCCGTGCTGCGTCTCCCCACCGTAGAAGTCGGCAATGACCTCCCGGCCGGCGATGACCTCGTGACGAGCGCCAGACAAGGACCGCGGA